GTCAGCGTTTTCTGTGGGAACCCAGGTTAATATTTGATTTCTTAATGTTGTATTGCTACTTTTCGGCGAAAAATTTAATTAATAATTAGATTATGATTTACCTTCATAGTAGCAGGCCACAGCGTAATATCATCGAAAATAAGTAACAGTGGTACTTTTGGTGATTGAAATGTAATCGATGAAGCCATGTTTTTTTATGTTAATCACCGTTCACCGTATTCGATATTCTTATCCATGCAATACAATGCATGCAAACAAAAAGGGCACTTCCGCTTAATTACCCGACAGCACTATGAATGTATAATGAGATTATGCATATTTCTTGCTAGCCAGAAATGGTTTTAATGTTTTAGCCAACTTTCCTAATCCATTAATGCATGGATATAAATGTACTTATAACCGTACCCCTTCTCGGGAATAATGGTAATCAGAAACAATTTTATTTTACCGTATAAACCATTAAAATATGTAAAGCAACATAATACCCATCACTCGTTTTTTACCTAAAGATGCATTATGCTTATATTCGTATTTTCTGGTATTGTGAGTTCTTTCTAAATGTACGCTCTAGCCCAGTATAAGTGCATCTGGTGCCTAGGGGCATGCACATAGGAAGAAATGACTGTATTAATAAAGAACGAACGATACCCATCACCTGTCGATAACACACGAACAACTTTTCAATGTTTGCTGTTGAACTAAGACTTTTCCAAAATAAAATCTTCACATTACATTGGGCCCTGTTTTATACATTTCTTTTGTTATTATGAGTGAACAATTTTTTATTGATCGTAATCAACATAAAATATTTTATTTTTGTTATCACATCCAATTTTAGTCTTTCATGTAACTTGTGTACAATTTAGCTAAATATATATCAATCAATGCTTTCAAAAATGTTCCATTTACATTACATGTAATACAACGAATTCTAATATGAATTTTTTGGATAATGACTAATTATGTCAAAAATGTTGAGTTCGATCTAGAATTTTTCAATTTAAAAATTCTAAATTCCAAAAAAAAGTTACTTATGAATAATCTTATAATTAATTTTATATACATAATTACATAAATGCCCGTCTATGATAAAATACATCTATATATGCTTATTGACAACACAATTATTAATTTATCACATATCTTAAGTCCATAGGATTAGTTAGGTCATGTTGGTTTTTCCTTCTCGCGTTATTATAGAAATTTTTGATAATAAGAGGGGTTCTATTCTTATTAGGAAGTTCTTTCGCAATTTTCGACCAGTTATGTGATTTTTTTGCGCTTTCTAAAATGATCACTTTTTCCTCGGTGGTTAGCGGACTGCGATCAACTATTATTACATATAAACAATATTTTTAGTTTTAGTAATTCTTTTTATGCGAGTTCTAATTTTTAGATACTTACTGTGTGGCGCGAGATGATTTACATATCTAAAATGAAAATCAAGTGATCTTAGAAGAAATTCTATGGAAAAAAATAAATTTTTATAATGAATACATACCGGTCTCTAATTTGCTTAGCGGTTTTGTTACTGCTACAATGCTGGGCTATTAAATTGAATTTGCCATTGTAAATTGTATATAACCGCTTGACTTCCTCATCCTCCTTTGACGTTAGAAAGAATATATTAAAAGGTTAGACAAGATAATGGCATAATTCGAGTCAAGTATAGAAATTTTATTTGAATTGAAGAAAAATTTTATTACCGCGAGTGACCAATTCTTTCTTGCTTTTGATGACATTGTTCAAAACCACTTGCTTTTTTTTTAAGTAATGAGATTTGTCAATTAAGCGAATTAATTAGTTAAACTAATTAGTGAAAGAAAGGTAGCAAGAAAGGGTAAAACACAGAAGGAAAAAATTTAGCTGGTTTTTTATATTCAAAAAATTCATTACATGGAAAGAGGAATATTGAGCTGGTTTTTTTATATTTCAAAAATTCATTTGCAATACTATTCAGTAAACCCCCCCCATAACCCATTAGTGCTTTGTTATAATTTTGAATGATAATCTTTATGCGTAAAAATTAAAATCCAAAATTACGCCAAAAAAAAAATTGGAACGTGATGATACATCTCGGTGAATCTGTCAAATGCATACGCTTGCATCTTATCGTCATTCTTCCAACGCTTGAGCACCATTAATTCAATTTTAAATTCTCCGTATTAACTTCCTTTTGTGAGATAATTAATTGTTCTTTGGAGTCTTAATCAAATACGGTCTAACGTGGAATTGGTATTCGCTCAAATCGATAATTTTTTCAATGGAAAAACGAACAATTGAAAGCAGGAGAAAATTATTCGCTTACATGCGTTAACTTCAAAGAATAATTCCTTGTCAATTTCTCAAACTTTATTTTTTCATTCTCTGGCTTCCTTCTTGATAGCATGATGGGATACATTATCTACTCCCATTTGAATTCACTAAAAAGGAATTAAGACAAAGGAATCATTGAGCATGCATCGATAAATTTGATCATTTAAATTAATGACGCAAGGAGAACAATAGGAGTCTTTTCATGATAAGAAATTAATTTGCATTTAGCCCATACGCATGGAAATTATGTTAATATGCTAATGTTTTCTCTTTAGGATGAAACAATGAATGAACTAAATCGGCTAACCAATCGCTTGGGCTCGTTTATCTAAAAATAGATAGATACACTTATGATTTTTTAATGAATGGGGGGATTTTCATATCACCACTACGACTACGTAATATTTGTTATGTCACACATAAACAAAACGTGATAATCTGTTATACATGTAATTTGTTTGCTTGGCAAAAACCCTTATTATACAATTTGCATATTCCCATAATTTCAATTAAGACATTGTACCATTATTTCCTATTTTGGGCTTATAGTGATTCTATTTATCGTTATGGCGAAAATACAATTTTTTGAAATAAAATAATATTTTGCTTAATAGCAAATAGAAGTTGCTAGGAGTTTAAATTTCTCTACGTATCAAAAATACCCCGCGTTTTACCCAATTAGGCATATCAAAATTTTTCGCCATTCCTTATCATCCATTGTTTACTAATACACAAATAACCATTGTTCATTATCGTAATCCCTGAGCATATATTCTGGGATAAGTTAACTTTAGTTATTTACATGCGATATCGGGGGACTTTTCCTCTGCACAAAAAAGTTTTGGGTTTATTTTAACATCAAAACCATACCGATACAGCATATGATAGTAAAAGGTAAACACCAATAAAATAAAAAAGACAATGTATAGTATTCTAACATTAATCTTGCACTGACCAGATTCGTGAAACGTAATATCGTAATGATGAGAATCTTTCTTCGTTTACGAAGATCTACTAACCTTAGTCGTTGCTACGATTTATTATAAAAACAAAAGTGAGCATATAAAAACTAAATGGGATATTTAATTTATTCTATTTACTATAAACATTTGTACAATTTATCTGTTTACAATAAACCGAAATATTTGGTTTAGAATAAAATACAAGTTTCAAATGAAAGTTTCTATTTTGCCGCATGGCGTTTGCTATTTTCTTGGAATGACATCCCATTTATGCATTATAACCAATTAAAAACATGCTATTGGTCCGTGCTTATTCATCTTGAACTTAAGCTACGCCTTCTAACCGTCATTTTGTTGCCTAATGAGTATTTAATAATTATGTAAACCATTGAATAATATTAAAAACACAGTTCATTGTCTTGTCAGTCGAATTCTAGAAACGTACTGTGAAGTTCTATAAACGTACATTCTGCGAGCGGGGTATTATTAATAAGGAGAAATGCATTTATTTCAGAATTAAACGCATCAAACTCAATGACGAGAAGTGGAGTAACATGTGAAGCACGAGCGTTAGCTAGAGTGTCTTTGTTATGTTATCACAGATAGTTGGTCAAAGCACTAGTTGCAAGCCAACCGTCACTCTGACTAAGCACTGTATTGCCAATGTATCTACATTAAGGTAATCCTGGATATTGATATTAAAAATTAGCCCATTCGCAAAAACTCAAGAGGTCATACGTATCTACATGTATTTACGTAAACACAATCATTAATTAGATTGATAACAAGGATCTTGTGTTTGCAATCATGCAAAATGCATTTAATCATGTGGTTCATAATTGAACTTTATCAAAATTTGGAAAGATTCAATTATACCTCCGCAGAACTATTCTATTCTATTTTGAGTTACATGATGCAAAGGAACAAACCGCAATTTCGCACCAAAAACGACCTGCAAATAAGTAAAAAATCAAAAAAAAGACCCAAGAAAGTAAATTTCATTGTTTGCATTCATTGATCCTATTGTTCTGATCGCAACTTTCATAAATGCAAATTCTCTCTGAATGCACGTTTTTGGTTAGCCCACGCTTATAAGACCTTTAATTATTATACCCTCTATAAATGCAATCTCTCCTTATATGCCCGTTTTTGGTTAGCCCCACGCTTAAAGACCTCTAATTATTTTATTATACCCCTCTATAAATGCAATCTCTCCTTATATGCATTTTAGTCATATGATCCCGACGAATTGCATTTAGAGTGTTGACCGTTTTGCTTTTTTGCATTCTTTGTTTTAGAGAAATATTGGGTTTTGTTATTCTCTTTTTAGTTTAAACAACGAATTTATTTAATTCATTGCTAAGAAAAATAATTGCGAATAGAAGTGTGTAATGGAAGGACCGAATGTTTTGACAAACAGCGAGATTAGCAATACATTTAATGTTAATTAAATCTTAGTTCTCAGCATTAATTCTATGCTAATTAATCTTTCATATGTATTTTCCATTTCGTTTATCTATGGATTGCTTTAAAAAATTTTTTGGAAAAATAACAGTACATTTAATATCTAGACACATGATATATTTAAAGTGCAGAAACTAAATTTTCATTAAATGCTAACAGTTGATAACGATAATTATTTAAAAACAAAAAAAAATCTTATATCGATATATCGAAATATTGACACGTGCTTGAATACCCGTTGTTTGACGATCACCAAATCTAATTTAACAGAGTATCCACAGACATACGTTCTCGAATACGATGGAAGGCTTGACGTTGCTGACTATGCCAATAATTGCGGATCATCAGTGGTGTTCGTCCATTCACCGGCAAACATTTAACAATTTCTACCCATCTATGGCCAATTGTACGACATTTTTCGGCAATTATTTTTTTCTCCATCGAGCTTAAAGGAGACTGATTAACTTTTAACAATAATAAATGCATGTAATTAGAACTTGAAAAAGATAAATTGTCAATCAAAAAACAGTTTATTTACTATTCTTGTCAAGATGATGGACCCATCTAAAGAGAATAAATTTTATCAGATCTTAAGAGATAGCAATGGGAACGCATTAATGGTTAAAACTTTTTCAAAATACCTATCCCGGATTTGTTTACCAGTTCGATTGTTTTTCATTTCACGAGCGATGATACGCCATTGTCGCTTATATATAGAAAATAAATGTCGTAATTGGTCATCTTCCTATATGAATGGAAAAAATCAGTGTAATCCAATACGACGCATAAAGAAGCATTCAAGAAATAAACGAATCAATACTTGATCTGTCCAAGCCTTTCTATTGGTTTTATTTTCTTTCAAAGTCTTCATGTTGATTAAAAATAAAGAATGTCGAATTAAAACGTGCGGTTAATTCCCTCTAAAGGAGATGTGTGTATATGAGAAAATTTGGTGAGGTTATCTAGAGAGAGGAAAGACTTTTACGCAAAAATAAGTCGAGAGCGAAAACAAATCTTTAACAAGTTGTAGCCCATTTACTATTTCATAATAATTACCTGTTTTTACCTGTTTAAGACATTTGATTTGATGACAAACTGGTATGATCTATCGACCGTATAGTTCCGATTAAGAATTAGGAGTAAAAGCTTGAAGTTTTAGAAGTCAGAATATCCTATAGATTTATCCTATTTTAATTAGGAGTTCTAGAGTAATAGGATCATTTAAAACTGGCATATTCAAGAACTCAACATGAGACAACTACTTCTAAAAATATAAATTTTCTTTTTGGATTCTAAGATGCACAAAATTACAGGTGAGAAATTCCCACACTTCAAACACAGAATAAAATGAAACATAAATGCTGAGACAACTTTTTAGTATATAATTTAAAAAAACGAATTTACTCGATTTGGATAATTATTACATATGTCGAGTGTCATCCCTGACTTTTGAGGACGCCCGAATGAAAAAAATTTCTTATTTTACAGCATTGATGTACAGGACGTATTATTTTAGTTCATCATTTAAAATAATTGATAATATGATAATTAGATCTATCAAATGTCGAAAAAAAGGAATTCTTTGCACTTTCTTGATAAGATCATATTGTTGAATAGTTTGGTCAATTATTAGATACATGTACATGTAATTAAATATACCACGTGGATGGCTTATTACATGATAATCACTTCTAAAATCGCTATATTGCGAAATTTTCATATGCTATGTAAAATTTACATAGACTAGATACAGTTAAGTAACTGGCCCCAAAAGATCATTAATTTAAAATTTTCCGAACACAAAGAACAGTAACAAACACTGATCATCTACGTCTTTTATAGACCGGCAAACTTATAAACATGTATCAGGAATTGGATGCTCGTCAAGTATCTATACAATAAATCAAAATTATTATCATACGATTCATCTCGACTAGATGAATCGAGTGTTAGCATTTTTGTTTGAATCGTACCACTGGATCCTAGACATCGAGATTTGCATTATAAAGTGAGACATGAAAGCTTTGATAAAGCTTGCCAGCTTTATAAAAGACTAGATGTGGCATTAAAAATTTTAGCTGGTAATTAGTTTCTAATAATAACTAGTATAATTATATATTCTATAAAAAAAATTTGAAATTATCAGAATTTTTACAGGCCTATAAGATAAAGTTTTTATCAGATTTTATTAAGATTTTACTAAGACTATTCTGAAAATTTAAATCTTATAAATTCTAAAAAATATTAGTTTTCAAGTTATCATCAGATTTTACTACTGAAAATTAAACCTGTAAATCTGGAAAAATTTGTATTGAAATTATGATTAGATTTATTTCAAGTTAAATATCACCATTTTTTAAAATAAAATCTTTAAATATTCAATCTTAGAAAAATCTCATAAAATTTATTTCAGATTGAATATTCTTATTTTTTTGAAATATTAAAACTTATATTCAAATATTTTTAAGTTTTATTTTATATATATGAAATAACCTGATTTATTTTCAGAATAAAAATATTTAATCTGAAATAAATTAATTTTATTTAATAATTATAAAAAATTTATATGATATAATATAATCTTATAATTTTTGAGAGATATATTAATAAAATTATATAATTATATAATAGAAAAATTCAAAGCAAATTTATTTTTGACAAATAAAATTTTATTTATATTTTTTATTAAAATAATTTTAATCTATTTCTAATTGTAATTTTTCAGAATATTATTAATATATATTAAATAACTTAATTAATTTATTCTTAAAAAATTACAAAACTTAAATTAAATAATTTAAATTATTAAAGTAAAACTAAAAAAGTTAAACTCATTCCTATTCGTCTCCACTTGTTAACTGCCAACTTATTATTTTGGTCATTAAATGCCAATTCTGCATGAAAAATTCTCGATACTAATAATGTTCCACATGCAACATGTATCCAAGTCGATGACAAATATTTGTTAACTTCAATAAAGAAAATCAATAATAATCCTAATGTAATATATTCCGAGAAATTGGCATGCGCCCTAATGGCTCGTTGAATATGTCGAAGTTGGTTATAGTCTATGTTCACGTGGCTGTACGGATGCGCTGTTTTGGTTACTTCATCTGCTTCATCTGCTTCATCTGCTTCATCTGCTTCATCTGCTTCATCTGCTTCATGTGAGGATTTAGACCGTTCTTGATCCACAAAAGAGATGAATTCGAGTATACTGTAATTTTTAATTAATACATATAAAGCATATAAATAATTTTAATACGTATAAAATAATTAATTTATTAATTTATTTTAGCTTGCGGATTAACTTTCATCGTATTAATATGGTAAAGATTTTATTTCAAAAACTTACCCATCACCAAGAGCGATACGATATTTTCTCCTAAGTAATATAATGCGATATGATAAAATTACGAAATAAATTGCGAAAAAAAAACGTATAAAATGGGACGATCTTGGATGTGCCTTCCATATTTCAATATTGAATATCAAAGATTTATAATTAAATAATTAATTTCTCGCTTTTTTATCAATCGTATTTAAATGAAAATTTTCGGTAAAAAAATT